ACGGCTTAGTTCATCCCTCCGAGTCGCCAGGGGGCGCACAGCCTTTTCGTCTCCGCGCGGGTGGGTGGTGCTGCGCCTGCGCGGCAGTTCGAACGGGATGGCGGCCGGGGCATTAGAAGGCTGAGCGGGGCGGCGGTTCGCTGTTCCTCTACTCACTTGTCGTTATCTCCCGTCCTGATTTTGCAGGATGTCCGCGCCGGTGAAAGGCTCCAGTAAGGCGGTGACGAGCGAAGAGGTGTCTAATAACAAGCGGAAAGGTAACCGTGGGGCGAGAGGACAGCGTGCTCCGGCTGAGGCGCGGCAGGTCGCTGAGGCGGGAAGCAACCCGGCCAGTCTGATTTGTCTTTGCTCCTTCTTCAGGAGGAAGAGTCGTGAAGTCTCGCTACTTGCAGTGCGATAAGAGAGACGCTAAGAAGGTACTTGGACGCCTCGCTGCTGGGCTCAGGGGTCGCTCAGCAAGGGATAGAAGTGGTTTGAGGGGTGGCTCGAGTGTGTGGCAGCGAGGCCCGAATAAAAAATGACTTGGTGGGGTTATGAGGGAGTCGTGGTGTGTTACTGCATGCAGACTGGGATGGGAATTTGGGACTGTACTCAGGTGACTTGCAAAGCACTAAGCTGCCTTGGGATTGCGGTTTTTTGTTGTTAGCATTCAAGTTGAAGGGAAGATATGTTGCTTATTACAATTATTGCTTATGTTCAGTCTTATCTGTTTCTTGATTGTCAGGATACTCCTGTAAGTTCGTTTTCAACATCTGCTGCTAAACCAGCTTCTGCAACTAAATCAAGATCAGTTCCTCCTCAGAAATGTAAAACTTCTACTGGTAGGTTTTACCAGAAGAATTTAAAAACTATCGTTTTGTGAATTGTATTTCCAACCTGTGGAACTCTTAACAATGCTGAAATGTTATTAAGAGATTATATTTTGTGTTACTTACGTCACTTCCAGTTTTTATCTGTATACAAAGGGAATTAAGAAACTTGATGTGGGAGTAAGAGGTGTAAACTGAAGTGCTTTAAACTTTTGTCTAAGCCTTCTGATAGAGAGCTAATCTAGAACTGAGTAATTGAGTTGTCTAAAATAAGTCCATTTCTTGCCTTCTGCACAAGGCTTTGAACTACTTTGTTACTATGCCCTTATCATTGCCCTCTTTTTAATTTAATCTTTTAAACAAACCCAGCGTATATAAGCATATATAATTGTGAATTTGCACAAAACCTGTTCTAATTCTTTTAGTTTGATAACAGCTTCTTTCTACAGGTGTTGTTACTAGCTCATTAAATCAGAGTAGTTTGAAGGAAAGTGTCTTGCAGTCCACTTTATTAGATGAAGGTAAAATTAGTCTACCGGACTTTGATCTTTCAGCCATTAGTGGTAAGCTTCCACTCATATTCAATTTCTTGTTTTGTTGTTTTTAATGTATGTGCTGTAACTTGATGATTAGTAATCCTTGTATTCTACCATATGCACAAAAGGATTATGTTAAACAGTGTGAATGCTATTTCAAGTTTCTTTAAACAGAGGCATGGAGACCTTTGGAGTTTAAATTAACCTCTCAATTTTTAGTATCTTTTGAGTATTCTGTTCTTTTTGTTTAAGATTGAATATTAAAGGACAAAGTACCATCAAGTCTTTGTTCCTAAAACAGATAAATGTTAGATTATCAGCCCTTCTGAAAATTGTATCTTATCTGTCTCTGTCACTTAAATGTTCATGTGATTCACATCTTCTCAGAAGTATAATCAGAGCCAGAAATAGAACACAAGTCTTCTTTGTTAGTACGCATAATAATTTTGAAATAATCTTTACCTTTGAAGAACCTGACAGTATGTTGATCCATGCTATATACTTTGGTAGAAGAGAGCAATAACTTTTCTGTTGTGATACAGATGGAACTGTCCGCCGAAAGACTTCTGCTTCAAAATCTTGTGAAAAAATTACAGAGACATCAGAAGAAAAGGAAGAAGCGGTGAGTCTCACTGCTTTCATTCGTGAAGCATATTTATTTTGAAATGCGTGAAATGTAAGTTTTCTGTTTTGTCTTTAAACTTGATAAGAACTTTGAGATCCTGGGATAATCTAGAGCCTTCTGGCAGAAGTCAGAGGATAAGTCTGTTCTGCTAGCAATGTTTGATTTATCAGAGGTCTCAACACTGACCGAAGTTTTGCTTCCGTTTTCTGTGGTAAAAAACCTGCTCCCATTTTAGCATCTCTTCAAGTTGATTCTTTTTATATTCCTGTCCATACTTTTTAATTATGTTATGTCATCTTAAAATGCTTTCTGACATTTTTTTCTCCAAAAACTATTGATTCAACCTAATTTGGAGTGCCTTCTTTAGGAACCTCATTTAACATAGCACTGAAACTTCAAGTTCTCTCCCAGTATTATGTCAGTCTGCTGAAAATATTACAAAAAGTGGTGGAACAACAAGGTATATTTAATTAACATGCATTGTTTAAAAAGCCAAACTTTTTTCATTGAGCTGACTGTTGGTGATGATGGTGATTCCCTGGGCACTAATTGGAATTTCAGTAATTTATTTCAACATTGAAAAAAACCAATTCTTTAAATACCAGAACTGATCTAATATGTCCTTTTGTTTTCTGAAGGAAAATTATTCTGATACTCTGACGGAAGAGCTGGAATCTCAGACGGTGCTTTTAACATACCTGAGACTAAAGGTGAGAGTCAGTCAAGTATTTGATGTTTCAGATATAAAAACATGTATTGAGGACTTGTTTAATTTCTTGTCTCTGCTTTCTGATCTGTAGAAGTTAGATTTTTGTGACTTTATATGTTTATGGCTGTAAAATGGTATGACTTGTTTTGAAACCTTGCTTGGAGTGAATTCAGTGCCAGTTTATTAAGCTGATGCTGGTTCCTCATGAATTGGGAGTATGCAAAAGTTTTGGGAAAACCATGAATGACTGGAGTTTAAGGCTATAGCAGTGCCTTTGTTCTTGGTGTGCTCAGTGCTGTATATGTGTATTTTCCCTTTACAAAAAATTTTAGGATGCATGGGAGATGAAGATGGGGAAGGGGGCTTTAACTATAACGTGCTGTGCTTATTGCATGAGGTCTCCCATTCAGGAATTGAAGCTCTTTGACCTGGTCTGACGCTTACATATTTGTTTCATCAGAATATGTTCTTTACTTAAATGTAGCATTACTTAAGTTGTGAATATTTTTTTTATATAATAGGCAGGAAACAATCTTGCTGAGCTGGAGAAAAAAGCAGAAGAAAACTTGTTAATGCTGTGTGAAGAGAAGAAGAGACAACAGGAGAAGCTCTGTGAGTTGAAACGTGAAATTCTACTCAAAGAGAGAGAGCAGAAACTTGATGAAGCATTAGACAAACAGGTAGGCTTTATTACAATTTTTTGCCTCTCATATATTTAAACAAGTTCATTTATGAAGTAGTCCTTTTTCCCGAGAAGATTACTCAGCTTCTGTGGTCTGCTGGGGTATGATTTTATGCATATTAAATAGAATAAGTATCTTCTTCCTGTTGTGACAAGTAATGCTCTCTAGTAACCTGAGCAAATGCCTTTGTCACTTTTTTGGTTGTCCCTTGTGGATAGGCAGGAAGGAGAAGTTAGAGCTGTTGGGCAAGGGGCAGCAATAGCACATGGGTTGCCAGAACAGTTTACAGTTAATGCACAGGAGATGCAAGTATCTTTAAAACCACATGAACATTCTGCAGTTAGGCAATTACAGTTTTATGGCTAGAGCCGAGATGCTAACTCTTAGATGAGAAGTGAACATCTTCTGTTCTTCATCTTACTTTTCCATGTTAAACAGCAATAGTTCTGACCCAGTTGTAAGAAGGCAATGTAATGAAGTTCTTAATAACCAACAATCTTAGAAGCCTCCTCTCTTTTTCAGTATTTTATTAGTTTTCTTGTGTTAAATAAAAAGGTAGTACTTTTTGAATAATTAATATTCAAATCTGAGACATGCCTTCTGGAGAGTACACTTTTAGCTACAGTCCAGATATTGAATCTGAAACACTCTGCTTGCTGTGTTGCTTATACCTTGCAGCTACACTAACAAGAAAGCTGTATTGAGCTAGATGTTTGGACGTGGTAGAGGAAAAACCTATTAAACAGCATTTTGGCATAGTACTTGGGGTAAATTATTTTTCTGTATTGAGCCAGGTCTGTACTAACAAAATGATTGCTTTTGAAGAAGTGTTGGTTCATCATGTGTCTTTTTCAGATGGAAATACTTTCTCCCCTTGTTGCTGTTTGTGAACAGTTTAAAGAGCAATACAAAAACTTTGCACTTTCCCTGGATGCCACTAGACATGAATTACCCATAAAGAATATTCACATAGAGGGAGATACGCTAACGTACCTTGGTATGAAAATTTGACTTATCAAATTTACTTTCAGAAATAGTGGCTTTGGTATGCTAAAATTCTTACGTTGTTATTGCTGGATCTATCTGCGGAAGGAATTTTGTGTCCTTTTAGAGCTTGTATGGACATGGGGCTGCAACATTAGTCACATGTTTTGCTATGCATAATTCTTGCTTCTGTTTAACCACTAAACTGCACTTGAACAAGTTTTTTTATCTTCCAGCAGGAAAAAAAAAGCTTTCTAAGCTAGGGCAGTCTTTATGTACACTTTCTTTAGTAAGTTTCCATATCTTTTAACTATTTCATGGCATTCCTCCTCCTTCTTTCTTGTTCCTAATGGGTAAGCAAGCTGTAGAAGTGCTGTGATATCTTATTATTTCTGTGTTTGAGGGATAAAGTCATGTGGGTAGACTTGCTCATGTTTCCTGTAGAAACATGAAACATTTCTCCTGTAACTACAGCTTAAATATATTGTGTGTTGTCTCAAATCAGAGAATGTTTGTTTAATAAATTAGTGCTTGAGTTTTGTATTGAAGTCTGGACAAAAAGATACATTTTTAAACTGGACAAAAAGATACATTTTTAAACTGCTGACCTGCAAGAAACAAGATTTTCAAACCATTTGCGATACTCTTGCTCACACTTTAAAACACATGGAAAAGGTTTATTGAAAAACTCCAAGTTCTTGTAAGGCTTGAAAGGAAATAAATATGTATTTTTGGTTTGTGAATGGTAAAGGAAAGGACTGGATAAATTTCATGTTGTGGATACATTCTAATAGCAATATAGGTAACTGGCCTAGGAATTTTGGATGTATAAAACTTGTTTTTTCTCTTGCATTTGTCTTATAAAAGTCTTTGACATACTCTAAATGAGAGCTTGATTAGCAATTCTAATAGCCTGTTGCTGGTGTTAGTCTTTGTAACTACAGACTTGGCTTTCACAGTTTTCTCATGGTGTGTTTATGAAAGCTGAGCAAACAGTAGTTTTCCATCATCTAGTTCACCTCTGTGGTTACTCTGGGTACTGACTATTAACAGAAGCCATTGCATGCATTTTTAAAAAATATCTTTAACAACTTCATATTGTAGAAGAACTGCAAAAGGAGTTAACTATCACGCAGAGCCTTCTCACAGAAGTCATGCCAGATTACTCGGAAGAAGAGCCAAGAGCATTTAATGTACTGACAGAGCTTAAAGAAGTCTCTCAGAAACTGGATAAAGAGCTTCAAAGGTATTTACAGCAATCAGCTGGAAAGACTCGCTGGTTAAATATTCAGCGGAAAATCTGTAGGTCTTGCCAGAATATATCGAGAATGTGTATTGAAGGAGGATTCATTGAGGGTATAGTAACACAAAGGTTAGTTCTGTTTATAGCAGACGTGTATTGCTGTCCCTGCCCTACCTACAGTCAAAGTAAAGATGTTTGGGGTTTTTTGTTTGTGTATTTTAAATGAACTACTTCAGTGTGCCATTCTCTGGCACTTTAGCTGGGAGTTTCAGTGAGCAAGAATAGCCTTGGTAAGGTGCAAAAACGTAGGTGAGTGGAGACCTCCAGGAGACAGAAAAGCGACCTGGAAGCACCATGGCCTAAATAATAACCTTGCGAATGTTAAATCCTTTAGAAGGTACAAGGAGCACAGAAAAGGTTTTTTCCTTGAGTATTATTTCAATAAATAGAAAGTATCACTGAAAGCATGAGGAAGAGATAAAGCATGATAAATTTTCTTTCCTTCCTTTCCCTAGAAGAGATTACAGCTAAAATCTTTGGAGATTGATAGACCATAAAGCCACCATCTCACTTTCCTGCAAACTGCCCCTCCACTCCTCCAAATTTCTAGCCCTTGGGAAGAAAATTCACATTTTATGTTTGTGGTTTGGTGGTGGTTTTTTTTCCTTCTGGTGGCTCCATGGTAGGAGAATGATGTGAATGTCCAGACACAGAGCCTCTGGGCTTCAGCAGATGTTATCCTCCAGATTAACTGATTTTGGTTGCTTGATTTGTTCCAGGAGCTTCACACAAGTGCAGAAACTGTCGTTTGAAGTTAGTAAAGAAGTTTCTCTGCATAATCAAAGAATATGCGAAGAGAATCATGGACTAGATGTTGTGAAACGCTGGTACTTCAACTAAGTTTGTGTGTTATTTTACTAATAGGTGGGTACTAAATCAGTGCCAGCAGTCTTGTTATCTTATTTCTTGTATGGACATATGAGTTGTCCAAATTTTTGGTTGTACTAGAATATGAGACCAGCAGTATGTGTGCTTACTGACATAAGAAATGGAATTTTCTTCTGCATGCTGTCCCATAAGGAAGCTCTTCTGTTAACATAAATGTCTGTAACACCTTTCTCCTGCTTTACTACTTTGACAATACTGAAATGTAAAGAATGAGAGATGTTATTCTTAGCAAATATGACCTATGTTTTCTGAAACTTCTTGGTTTAGGTTCTTGGAACTGGTTTGCATCTTTTTCCAGAGTAGTGTTCCTTAGTGGGCAGCATACAGAATGTAGATGTGGAATTGTGTATGTGGTGCTGTGCATTTACTGATCTTGTCAGGAGGATCTGTAGGAATGTGCAGCGCGATCAATGGTCATTCAGTAAACAGCTACTGGAGGAACTCTTAATTGCCCCTTATTTCTGGGTTTGCTGAGAGGAAAAGCTATGTGGGTAGCAAATTATGAGGCTGATGATTGGGAAGGAGCCTGGTCACTTGTAACAAGTGTAAATTTTTGGTAATTTGTTGCCTAATTGTTTTTGAAACAAATTATTAAAATCATAAATGCATTTGTATTAACCTGACACCTTCTTTTTAAGGACTTTATTTATTTGTTTAACAATAAAGACTATTTTCCACTGAAATATCAATAGACTTCATGTTTGAATATCTTCACTGTTCTACAGAAGCTTTTTTTCCATCTGGGCTTATGTAGGACTAGTACTACACAATGTGTGTAGTGGTGGATTTACAGGCACTAACCAGTCCCAGTGGCAAGCCGTGCCCTGCTGGCACCCAAAGTGCTGAGGCCAGAAGAGTCTGAATGTGGAGAGAAACCTCAAACCTAACTACTGAGTAAGTGCCTGACAGTGAGTATGCTTTGTTATGAACATACATGCCAGATGTGGCAGGTTTCTTAGCATACTTTCTATTTTTGTACATGGAATGCATTTCTCTCTGAAAGACATGCTGTATCCTGTTTTTTGTTTTTTACCTGTACTAACTCTTTCTCTGATGTTATTGATAAGTTTTGCTTTGTAATGTCTGCTTAGTGTTACATTTCTGGCTTAAGCTGTGCCTATAAAGCTTTTTTGGCCTGCTCAAAAAATACTTGGAGCATTCTCCTTGAAGTGCTATTCAGGCTTTCTTCCTGGTATTACTAGGAGTCTAGATTTTTATCTCTTACTGAAAATCAGAAGTGAATTCAGCTATAGTAACTGGATCAGTAATGATCAGTATCATGTGCAGTGCACTGGATAAGAAGTCAATATATAACAAACTATAAGGACTGTCTTTGTGTATAGTATCAGTGTAATATTTTTTTCTTCACAGCAATTTATCACAAGCTGTGTGCGCTGCTACTCAGCCCATGAGCCGTGGGTCCTGCACGCAGCAGGATCATGTGCTGGGTCAGGTCCATGAACTGCACCTACAAAGTTGGCCACTGGATGGGGAACTTTGCTAAGCATTCAAGTCATAATTTAGCTGCAAATTAGGAGGCTTGGATTTTGGTGGATGCAGATCTTGGTAGAAAGGCTCCTTTATGGTGAAACTGCTCATCAAACAACTGTTTTTCCTTGTTTAGATAACTGCTAGATGTGCATCTCATGACTTTATCCTGCTTACCGTAAGTGTGTCATCCTGAGAGTTAAGAGGGATGAAATTAAAATCAAGTTTATAGTGTCTTGATATTTCTGGGTCTGACAAAGTCAGAATGCCTTTCCTAGGATAATTTTAATTTAAATAATAAGGTTTTTTTAGAAGTGCTTTGATTTCAGGTATGTATTTTCCATAAATACATATTTTCCAGAGCATAAATGTGCATGCTCTGATTTTAATATTATGTGTATCCTTTCACTCAGTTTTGGAGAGGGATGAAAGATAACTTGGGTAGAGTTTCAATTTTCTTCTGCATTTTCTTACTCTGATCAATTTCTAGACTAACTATGTGCAGCATATCTGCACTGATACTAAGAGAAGTGCAGTGCTTTTAGTTCTCTTCCTTGAAGAAGGGTGGAGGAGCAAGGTTCTGCTTTCTGTGATTACAGCTAAAGGCCCTCAGTTTTTTGGGAAGTAGTTCATCCTTGCTGCTGCGGGTGGCAGTCATTATCTGCAACCAGCCTAGGGCAAAGAAAGGCCCAACTGCATGTGCAAAACAATGAAGTGCTTGGGGATGTGCACTCATTGTTTCAAGAGTCAGAGGCATGGATTCAAGCATTCTGGCCATTCTTTTCCTGAAATTGAACACTTGTTCTACCATTTGTACAAAGAATTACACAAGTGTTAGATGAAGAAGCTCCGCCTCTCCAGGGAAGAGTTTTAATCTATTTTGAACTGAGACTTTTCCATTTTGACTTCCCTGAATATTATTTCTAAGTGGTTTTGTTTGGCTCTTTGCAGAAGTGTTTTAGGTTCCTCTGCCTTGAAACAGCCACAGAATTAAATGCTGTCATATTTAACACTGTACAAACAACAACAAAGAATGCAAAATCACTGGAGCAGGAGCTAAACAGATGTGACACCAGTTATTTTGTGTTTTCCACTTATTTTCTGACAATGTCACATGCTCTGAATCCACTTGGAGTCCTAAACAACTTCAGGGCTCTTCTTATTTGGATTATCAATCTCTGCTTGGATTTTTTGTTTGTTTTGTTTTTAACCTATAGTTACTAGTATTCTCCTTTCTGTAACTGCTATCAATGTAGATTTGTTCTATCTGTGGTACTTGGTACCTAGGTATTCATCTTTTAGGCCAGAAGTTCTTCTTGACCAGTTGTTAACATTCATGTGTCCTAAGGTGTATTGGGTTTTTTTGGGGGGAGTGGTGGCGCTTTTTTCTCTTCCAAAAACTGAAAGCAATTGTGAAATGAGCCAGCTAGGTCTGAGACCCTGGGTGGGAAGGGGAGGAGTACGGAAATACAAGTACTCATCCCCTACAAAATTCTCTTAATTGTCTAGAAAACCATCAGCAAAGATAATTTTAAACTAGGTTTGCACTGCACAGATTACCCTGCCTGGATTTTGGTATTTCCTGGGAAGCTCTGACCACATTCTCTTCACTTATGCTGGTGTTGCCTCACTGTTATGACCACCAGCTCAGGAGGGCTGAGTCAAAGCATTTTTTGCTGTAATTCCTGTGCTCTCTGTGACAGGGTCACTGGAGTCAATGTAAGGGAGCATCCCTCTTGCCTGTGGTGCCCTACAGTGGAGCTGCAGCCCAGGAGATAACCGAGGCCTGTTTGCCTCTTCACCACCACCCCCTAGCTCTACAATTCTTTGTTCACGCTGGCTTCAAGTGGAGCTGAGTCTTTGCTCATCAACAGCAAGTAAGCAGCTCATGACCTCAGCAGATGTTTCTGCATTTTAAGCTAATGAGAATTTACTGGATTACTGCAGTCTTCCCTGCCTCGGAGTAAATACCACTTTGTTGGAGATCCGGAAACTCATACTGAATATGATAAGCAAACTGCTGGCTGGACTGTGATTGCCAGGAGATGAAAAGAGCTCCACAGCGGCAGAGGATCTAACAGCTCTGAAATACACCACTGAGCCACACCAATTAAGAGCATTTTTAGTGATTATGTGAGCATTCCTGTTCAACTCTCAGAAATGAATTTAGGTTGTTTCTTCCGCTGCATTTGTGTGTGGTCTGTAAAGCAAGCACAAGAATGGAGTACCAGGTTTGCAGAGTAGTCTCAAATGCCTCTGGTTTATTTTAAAATATTTCAGTGATAATGTATATACAAGACCTATCCAGTTTCCTGCTATTTCAGGATCTTAGATTTAACCTATTAGGGAAGCAAACACAGCTTGCCTCTGAAGACTAATTTTTTGTTTATATAGCTAACATGTGTTTGAAGATGGCCTGCAGGATATCAAAACTTAATTCCTTGTTTTAATATCTACTGCATGGGGGTGGCTGAACAGCTGATGAAACAGTGACGTTTTCAGGACTACTGCCCAAAAATATATTCTGTCTAGGGCACTTAATTCATTCAGCACTTGGGCTTTGTTGTGTATTTTTTCAGAACTTTTTAGATGGTATTTCAATAAGACAAATAATGAACACTTAATGATAGGAGTGCAGCACTGACCTCCAAGCTAAACAAAGATGAAACTTGTTAACTTGACTGTAGAGGTAAGTGGAGTATCTGCATAGGCAGTACCCAAAGACATCAAGAGCCCTTAACCCTTTCTTGTTACCTTTTTTAAATGAGAAACTTTTCTTCAGCTAATTGAACAAAATCACATTTCTCAAATTGATACGATTTGTATGATAAAAAGACACCTCTACCCATTCCTAGTTATAAAGATGTCCAGCTGAACTTTTAATAACTTTTAAATGTGGAGACCTCACAACTTCTCTAGATCCCTTATTTATGTATAAAACTTCCATCAAATGATGGACTAGGCAGGCTTCTACATCAGTCATATGTAGAAGCCGAGTAAATTGGGAACTAATTTACTGCATGTCTTAATGACAGCTACTTCTGAGTGAGCTCAGTGCTCTGATTTCTTAGTACTACTTCAGTCGTTTTGTCAGGAATTAAACGGTTGTACTCCTCTGAAAGATCAACCTATCCTGTTCTGTCCTAGGCATTTTTGACAGAACTATTTAATAATTGTACTCTCAATATTATGCTGTTGTTATAGGCTACTCAGATTATATTCTTACTTTGAAAGTGCTCTTTAATTAACCTTTCATTGTAATTTTGTTCTAGAGATGCTTGTATTCCCAGAATCAGGGAGGATCAGTCTTGTTTCTACTACTCTGTATCTGGACTGATGTAGTTTCTGTGAAAAAAGACATTTTCCTCATTGCAGGTAAGCCTGCAGTAGTGTGGCAAAGCCAATAAGGACTCTTGGTTTGCCGTTATCAGTTTCTACATTAGATATCTATGTTTGGCTGGCAA